CTTAAAAAGAAAAAAACTGCTGGTGTGTGTGTGTGTGTGTGTGTGTGTGTGTGTGTGTGTGTGTGTGTGTGTGTGTGTGTGGGGGTGCAGTAGTAGCCTAGATTGATAATCATGATCACTACCTTGTTGTAAAGAACATTTTCCGATCATAAGCCATTATGACATTAAAATGTACACTCACACTTGCACCTCACACTTCTGTTGACAGATACGACACGTGAAAGTTTGACTGGAGTTTAATTCAACATTGCTGCTAATATAAAAACAAAGTATTAGATGAAAGCCAAACATAAGGTGCACAAAAAGACACTTGTACCTTATCAGGCTGCTCACATGAACATGAAGTTAGTGGAATATTTACAGCAAAAATGATCTCATTAAGTTAAGCTTAAATAACATATTTTGAAAAATGTAAGTCATACTGAATGTAAAGGAGAAAAAAGTGCTTTCATGCATTCCTATTAGCATTTAACTACTGACACTGTTATGCTTAACTTACGCACAAAGAAAAGACTATAAGGTTTAAATAACACTTAGATTCACAGTGATAATTAATATGGATAGTTTGAAGGCACTACATTGCAAGGCCGAACACATGATTGAAAAATTTAAGGCTGAAGAAAATACTTTGAAGTGGCAAAAATCATAATGATAAACCATACAGATAATGCTTTTACACGCTATGAGACAATCTATCTTCTAAGAAGCGCCCGACGATAATGGATTAGGGTTAGTGGTTATTTTGGCTAATTGTCTGCTCAGTGGGGTTTTGGGTGAAGGGTTAACAGTGTTTGATTGGAGGTTATTCTGGGTTTATGTTCGCACTACAGTAAATCTACTTGTTAGCAGAAGCAGATGAAGGTGCTTTTGAGAGGCAGGGTGGATTAGCTCTGAGCTCAAGTAGCTTCAGATCAGCAGGATCACCAATGATGACGATAGTAGCCATTAGTCATGTAGGCCAGTTTGAAAGAGGCTTCTGTCATTCACAGTTTTCCTTGTTAACATATAAAGTGTCCAAATCAATGGTCTGTCATCAATACTAAAACTCCTAGGACTAGTTTCACTACATTTAGGCCCCGCCCACACGGAGACGAAAACAAACCGAGGTCGATATCTAAAAAGTCTTCCGTCCACACGGAATCGGCACAAGAAACGTGTCCGTCCACACGAGGCCGCTCGACCCGGTGGAGACGCTGTAGTACATATGCCGGGCCTGTAAGTGGCGCTGTACTTCCGCCACAAAATACACCAAAAGCAGCGAATAAGACCCCCCGAGCATGGTTGCCAAACACAGAGAGCTGCACTCCCAGCCTCGCAGCAGAACAATAAGCACTGTATGCCACAGCGCTCACTGGCATCAATATCAAGTACGCTGAAATATAATTTTGTGGGATACAATCAAGGCAGGATTGTGTTATTCATGGAGCCCCACAGAGCTCAATATGAATTAAATTAAATTAAATGATCCTATGCAAAAAGTGTAATTTATATAAATGTTGAAATAATGATTTACTCAGCTAGTTATTATGTAATACATTTCATAATTCTTTATAACAATTTTAGTTATAAAGGTAATGTTTTTGGTTTCGTTTGCTATTCTGGCAGCATTACTTTTAGTCAATAGAGGGCGGTGCAAGTGGGTTTGTTAAAATAAGTATGATTATATAGAAGTCTATGAGAAAATCCCCCTTTTTTCAGTTGTTTTAATATCCGAGTAAACATTTCCTGACAGGTTTCTCTTCTCAATTGCTAGTTTCAAATATTTTTCAATATAGTCTGGTGGTCATTTTGTAAACAGTGTATTTTAGGGCATGGCTACCTTGTAACTTTGCTTTATTCAGCACATAAACAACACAGATTAGCAGTCGGCTTCTCAAATGTGTCAGCACTTCCAAAAGCACACAATTCAAACCAGATGCAATCGCTACTGTAATAAATGACCTCACTCAAAATGAGTCCCTTAATGTAAGTTTTTGTTGCAGTAAATTGGAAACTTCACTACTATATGGAAACACACATTAAGCAATCTGAAACAAAGGATAGTGTTGAGCAATCATTTATATTAATAGGACTAAAACCAAGAAGCAAAACACATCAGCTAGACGGGGGGGAAGCCCCTGTTTTATGTTCGGAATGAAAAATAATGTTGAGCATTGTGGAGCAGGCGAGAAACAAGAAACAACTTCCTGTGAAAATGACTCGCTTTATTCTACTGGCATAGAAACAAGAGTGTGCCTTCTGCTGTCCATCAGGCGTCATTGCAGGCTGGCAGGAATTCACAGGAGGTGGTCAAAGCCACAGTGAAGCCTTCCTCTTTTTACATTCTTGTAATAGCTCTTTGCAATCACTTGTTTTTCTCTAAGAAGCAGAACGAGTGTCAAGTATAATGGTATCCCTGCAGTCATCCTGCCTGCACACTTTTTAAAATGATCAACATTGAAATCACACTTAAACTGATTTATGTCTGCAGGCCTAGCAACCTACATTGATAAAAAAAAAAATTCTATAAAGATTGATAAACAAAACAAAAAAAAGAGATTAAAAAAACAATCTCAAACAATTCTCACAAAATGGAAAACAAAAGACAAACTTTTTCTTAGTTAATGAATTATTTAATATTAAATGAGATTTTAAAAAGTAAAATCTTTTTTAACCTTGTCTTTTAACCATCCTATGTTTTTTTTTAAAGTTAAGTCTAATATATATAATTATACCTGTTAATGTATGGTTGTTGCCATGGATATGAATCATTCCTCTCTGTCTCTGTGTCTGTCCAGGTGTCCACATCCTGATTGCAGTGGGCGCAGTGATGATGGTGGTCGGCTTCCTTGGTTGCTATGGCGCCATCCAGGAGTCCCAGTGTCTGCTGGGAACGGTGAGTCACATATGAAGGTTTTAATTAGTTGTAATTAGAGGCCCAAAAATAACCAAAACCAACTTGAAGATACTTCTCACACATTATTTCATGTTTTTTATTCTCATTTTCTATTGATACAAAGTTTTTTTTCACAATAATCAAATAGTGCAATCCTAAAATTGTGAGTTTAATTTTTGAAGGAACATGCACAAGTACACACGTACGCATTCACAATACTCACACTGCTCCACTGATGATCTGGGGTCATTTACTTGTTAGTAAACATGGATGTAAAGAACACCGGATTTGAAATACATTAAATCATATTGTCTATTTAAAAAGTCAAAACCTTTGTTATCTGACTTGTTGAAGGGGTAATGAGATGTTTCTGTCCTGCAGTTCTTCGCCTGCCTCATCATCCTGTTCGCCTGTGAAGTTGCAGCTGGAATCTGGGGCTTCATGAACAAAGACACTGTAAGACGGGAGGTTCAAATATGCATGCTACATTGAGGCTCAAATACAGTTCAATTGCAGGTGTATAATGAAAGAGTTAAATATTATGAAACAAATTACTAAGTTATTCTGGTTTATTAGTATTGCAAATGTTCACTCTGTGGGACGAATAAAGGTGTTCTGATTTAGGCCTGAATTGCCAGGTTTAAAAGGTAGAAAAACATCGTAAAACTAATAATATCACTGAAGAACTTCGGTGAAAAAACGGTGAAATGATTCTTAAAACATGTTCTATGTAGCACGGCATAGATCCTACTGTGTGTCCTTTAGTGTCTATTAATCCTTCCAACGAATTAGCGACTTTCCTGAAATCAGCTCAAAATGAATTGACTGAATTCAGGGAACACATGGTTTAAAGCTCCAGGCTGACCTCTTTGTTTCTGTCTTAGGTTGCCACGGAGATGATCAGCTTCTACGACTCTGCGTATGACAAGGCCATATCCTTCCCAGCGTTACCAGGAACAGAAAAGGACAACAAGGAGAAGGACGCCGTCACCGCTGTGCTCCGGGTCTTCCACGAGACGGTAAGAACAAAACGAAATGACTCGAAGATAACTCATTCATTTTGAAACACAGGATGTACTTTGACAAAAGACGTCTTCATTTCATTTTAGGCTTTACAATCAGGGCTTTGGCATAGTATGCATTTCAATGGGACCTCTTAGTTTACCTATTACTAAAACTCAATTCTCCTGTGCACTCGTCCTTCTGCGCAGTGATTCAGTAGGTAGGTTGTTAAGAACTCAGGCACTTAGGAGGTAGGACCCAATTGCACGACCCGGGAGACAGAGGTAAAGTATTGGTAAGATACTTTATTTTCCAAAACAAAAAGCAAGATGAGCAAAAAATGGTCACTTTCTAATCTCTAGCTGAGATGACAAAAAAATAAGAACAAAATGAAAATCGCTCACGTGGTGAGGAACAAAACTTTACAATAGCACGAAGAGAACATAGAACTGACTGTGGCAAGAAACAAGACCTTCCATGGCAATAGACAAAACGCATAGGCCTGAACATGACAAGAGACAAAAACGAACTGACACCGAACACTGGGAGACTGGGGAATTTAAATACAGGGTAACAAGACACAGGTGGGAACAATCAGGGGCGGGGCTGACACTGATGAGCACAGGAGACACAGAAGGGGTGACGGGTGAAAACAATCAGGAAATTAGACACACCAGGGAAACTAACGACAGACAGGAAAACACAGGTAAAAAGACCAGACAATACACAGGGAGGAAAACATGACAAGGAGAAAACCAAAACACCCACTACCAGACACACAAAACTAAGAATCGTGATAGAAGCCCCCCCTCAAGGGACGGATTCCAGACGTACAAAATCGAAAAGGGTCGGTGGAGGGGGTCCGGAGGACGGGTCCGGGACAACAACCCAGAGGCAAAACACAGTCCATGATGGAGCTCTCGGGCGGACGGCCCGGGGGCAAGGCAGAGTTCATGGTGGAGTCCTCAGGCGGACGGCCTGGGTGCAAGGCAGAGTTCATGGTGGAGTCCTCGGCTGGGGAACTCAGGAGGCCGGGCACAAGGACGGGCAGGAGCCGGCGGAACCCCCGGCGGGCCAGGCGCAGACGAGACCCTGGACGGAACAGGACATAGGATTGGCAGGACCCCCGGCAGAAAAGTAGTC